CCTAAACAATCCATGTTTTTCTTTTTCTTTGAATGTTTATTGCTCTGATATAATAATCATAAACAAACCTTACAGAGAAAGCCAAATAGATCCTAGGGATGTACAAGACTGATGTCTTAGCAAAACTAAGATTGCAAGCTTTGCAGCTTGTGTTACTGATGGGGAGCAAGGACCTCTGTAACCTCTCCTGTTTAAAGAGGCATTCATTAAGAAAGAAATAGGCGAAAAAAATCTAATATGATTACTAAATTAAGGAAATATTAAATAAATAAAGTAGTATCTATATCCTCAAATAAAGAAAAAGATTAACTGAATTCTTAAAGTATTTGGAAAAATTTCCTTTTAAACCGTTTAACATAAATCAAATATTTTGATTATATTTCCTCAGGTTTTTCACAATAGTTTACTGTAATGCCGCCAAATTCCTGACAGAACTGGAAAAAAACAAAAAAAGCTTAACAGATTTTCTGTGAAACATTCACTGTCTCCAACCCAATTTGCAACTATCTTGGCAGTAAGTTTATTTTCTGAAACAGACATTTGTGTCCAGGCTTTTTCTTCTTGGCTTGGCTTGATATTGTAATCCTTAGACTAAAGTCACACAGAGTTATTCAAGACAGAAAATAAGGCAAATGTTTTTAAAAACTCTGATTTTGAAGAAAGAGGCCTAAATAACTCTCTAATACTCCTGGTATTTTGCAAATAGACAGTATTTCTTTTGATTTAATTTTGTATTTTTTTGTTTTTTAAACTCTGTGGATATTTTTAAAGTTTGGATTAGTCACTTCAGTTAAGATAATTATCAATGATGATGTGTGAGTTCATTGCACCTTAAAATTAGCTGCCTGTTGCTCTTTGAACTGATGTTTCCCACAATAGTTTATCTGATTAGGACAGTTCCTCTGTCTGGAAATACAGTTATAATCTTAATTCTGTACGTTTCATTCTGGCAAAGATTTGGGAATGGAATGAGAGCGGTGTCCTTCAGCTAAGAACAAACTGTAATATTTTGATAAGGCTGGAGCCTTGGATGTCTACTCATCTGCAACTTGTACGATGTAAAATGTGATGATGTGGCAGACTGGAGATGTATAAAATGCTTCTTAAACTGTTCATCAGGGCCATTTCCCAAGAAGTGAGCCCGGGGATCTGCACTGGAAAAAAAATCGAAATCTAGATGAGTAATTTTTTTTAAAAATAACTCCATTTGTTTTTAAATTGAGGAAGTAAAAGATACATTTTGCCAATGGAGCAAGACAATTAACATTTAAAATAAGAAAAAAACAATTGCATTGTCTTATTATAATTGCATATTATCGAATGATCTTATTTTAAGAGTAAAAATACTCATTCCTTTGGCTACCATCTCGTTTACCTACTCAGATTAAGGGTAAATACACTTAATCCAAGAAAATTTTACTTATTTCTAGATCGTTTTTCCAGTGTTCTTTCTTGAATTCTAAGCAACTTCTCTGATCTGAGTAAGATTACAATTTCTATCAAAATCTGTTGTCATGTCTCATGGTTATTTATTACATATAAGTTATTCAATGTTATTTATATATTTTATTTGTCCCGTGTGATCTCTTTTCAGGAAAAAGAACCAGATAGAGAAAGCTTAAAGGTGTAGACACAGAGAGCTGATCTTTAACACTTCATTACAAAGCATGATCCGCACACTAAATGTTGGAATATTAGCTGCTCTATAGCGGTGGGCTTTAAGTAAATTTGGAAGGGTACTGCACTGTAGTAACTTAACATAGTTGAGCTAAAGGGAACTTAAAGAAAAAACAACTTGATAAAATGATGCAATTTGATTTCATAAACATGATGTATAAAAATCAGACCCATGTTTATGTTCTGTGTTTCTGAGGTTCAGGCATTTTTATTTTATTTTTATATCTTTATCCAAACTCATCACTAGTACTGTTATCATTTCCTGCATTCTTGTTCATTATTGTTTGTCTTGTTGGTTAGTTGGTATAAGAGGTATATACAAAACTATCAGTTTTTTTTTTATACATTTTGGCAAAAAATAAAGTTAAAATAGAAACACATGGCTAAACGTAAGAAAACACAATTGTTACTCTGAGAACCCTGAAACTCTTCTGTCTATTCATCAACATGATTTTTTTTTCTTTTTTTCTTTTCAGAGAGGGAACCAAAACCACAGGAAAGGAAACAGGTTTTTTCTCCATTCCTCTTTTGCCACCAAAAGTTGTTAGTGTGAGCATATCAAGGAAAACATCATGTGATTGGGAAACACTTCAGGGCTGAGAGCATTCTGTGGTCAGGTCAAAGCTGCCCGACAGATGAACTAATCAGTCACTTGGAGAAGAGCTGTGAGAGGATCCAGTTAAGGATGAGGTTAATCAACTTGTGCTTCTGTCTTCTCTTTTGCCTGAACACAGGTAAGGGCCATACAATTTTATATTTTATTTAATGACACTAAAGTGGACTTTTCTGAAGTATTTTCTTACCTTTTCAGGTGATGTATCTGCAAACCCCATAACAGCCACAGTGGGAACAGATGTCACTCTAAAATGCAAATATGACTCTAAACATTACGGCAGGCTGCCTTTCTGCTGGGGCAGAGGCAGTATACCTAACAGTGGCTGTGGAAATGAGGTGATCAAGTCCGACGGAACAACGGTGCTCAGCAGGCGTTCAGAACGTTACACTCTTCTGGGTGACCTTGGCATGGGGGAGGCTTTTCTGACCATCACGCAGGTTCAAGAAAGTGACTCCGGCATATACGGCTGTCGTATAGACATACCAGGCTGGTTCAATGATCAGAAACATGAGATTACTCTCAAAGTAAATCCAGGTACTTCTAACTCTAACAAAGTTATACTAAAAGATTTAAATATTTTCAATACTGCATGCTGGATATTTTAAAACTTCTGAAGAATTCACAGTATATTTTATTAATCAAAACAGTGTTTACATTTGGTAGCTTGGTAACTGGTTCAGGGCTGCTTTTCTAACTGTTTTAGGAAAGCCTTTTCCTATAAAGGTGGAAATGAGAGAGGTGAGGGAACGGACGGTTATTGTACGCTGGACTCCTGCTTTTGATGGCGGCAGTCCTGTTACCAGCTACAGGGTGGATTTGAAATTTAAATATGGTAAGAACAAGAAAAACGTGTGGTAATTGCTTCAGGTATGGAAACTTAAAAGTTCACAATACAACAATAATGTTGAATTAACCCTTTATATGTTTTAATTTATTTCTGAGGGGAAAAATGTTTTTATAACCTTCCAAAGTGGTTCTGTTGAAAAGAATAAAGATATTCAAATATTCTTTATTCTGAATAAAGAAAGAGGAATGTGATTTATTAATCTGATCCTATCTTTGCATTTCTTTGCAACAGCATCTTGGGATACAGCTATAAGAACTGAAGTATCACACGCCTCCCTGACTCAGGTGACTTTGGTCGACTTGCGTCCTGCCAAGACCTACAACCTTCGCATGTTTGTGGTCAACAGTGTGGGGATGAGTGAAGCCAGCAATATTCTGGTATTCACAACAAAGGAGGCAGGTAAATACGTTTCCAACATTTTTATGTGAGACTAAAATAAAGTTCATTCCACCAAAGTTAAAAACCAATCCACCGGACTTGGTTTCCAAGTTTTAACATGTTTCTCTTCTCATCCAGCA